AAAAAAAAAAAAAAAAAAAGAGCTTCATTTCGATAGTTTTAAAAGGAAAATCTTCTCTTACGTTCGCGTCTCGTCCTCGAAAGCGACATTTCGAGGATCGAAAGTTTAATTGAGAAAAAGTTTAAAAGATCGATTGTTTTCTCTCGAATGAGTAAAATGCGAAAGAAATCGATACTGAGAAGAAACACTAGCAAAGAGAAGAAGAAGAAGAAGAAGAAAAAGAAAAAGAAGAAAAAGAAGACGAAGAAGTTGGCGAGATAAAGGAGGAAGCCAATGATATTTTTGTGGTAACGTAAAGTTAAGGCAGTGGCCGCAGAGCAAACGTCGGTCGGCCGCAATCTTCGGTCAATTTCCGAGCAAGAGGCAAGCAATCTTACTGTGCAAACAAAAAGGTGGCCACCGTAAGGTTATCTTTCGAAAGAAAAAAAAAAAATGAGATGAAGCGAGATGGAGAGAATCGTTGATCGACCCTTTGTCGGCCCTTCGTCGAAAGATATTTCAGTGGCAATCGCGAATCGATAATTTCACTTCGTTTCTCGACTACCGCGTAGTTGCGAACGTTGTAAACGCAATCCTAGCAAATGCAATCCTAGTAGCCCTGTATACCTCTTCCTCATCCGAGTTTTATATTTCCAAGCTCTCGAACGTTTCCAATCTGCAACGTCTGGCTCCGTTGCAATTTTTTCATTCGTTGCAATCACGTAAAATATCTGCCGTGTTTTTGCCGTGAGAACACGTAGATACAATGATCTCATAGACGGTTGAAAAGATTTGTAGCTGCTGTCGTGTTTTGTGCGTCGAGTTATCTAAGCTTAATGTTGCTCAATCGTTTTGTCCATTAAAATTAAAGACCATCCATCGATAGCCAGCGCTGCAAGAAGCCTGTGCGAGAAGATCAGGAAGGAAATATCGAAGAAAATATAGTAGAAGGTGCTTGACGCGGGTAAATTGCCGCAACTTCCACGCGGCAATCAGTTTTCCATCACGACTCTATTACCGGCCGATCTAATTAATGCCTCAGAATTTTTCTTATCGAAAGCAGACGATTCCGTGAGAGTGTAGGGTTAAGACATCGGTCGATCGATCTTTCCATGCGCCGGTGAAAACAAATGAGCTTCGGACAGCCGAGGTTCGAAGCGGCCCTTTTGAGGGCCTTTGATGCCCGGCAGCTCTTGGGTCAGACTACGCCATTCACGGTAGCCGTTCGGTCTCCTCTGACCTCGACACTTTTCTTATTTTTCTTTCAACCTTTTTTACTTCATCCCACCGACCATCGCCTCATTCCCTACTGGAACACCGTAATGAACCTAGCGGAATGGACAATGGTCCAGCTACGTCCGAAGCCTGGTGCCTCGCCACCAGAAGGGTTAATAACGATCCTCCACGATCATTAGTAATTACCCTTTCCCGCTTCCACCGTAGAATCTCGCCGAATTTTCGCCCATTTCTTTCCTGCCTTTCCTTTTTCTGGCTCCTATAATTAATTTCCACTCTCATTCAAAGCAGATCTTGCAAGGAAAACGAAGAAATCGTTTAATTAACTAACTACATTGTTTGCCGGTTTATCAGATAGTTTAACGGTTGCTGCGTGATACGTAGGATTTTTGCAATTCATATTATGCACGCGTTTGAAATCGGCGGAGCGATTTGCGAGACGGTGCAATTAACATCGCGAGGATTCATTAAGTACATCTCGTTTGAGCAGCCGACTTTTTAAAAAATTGCACAGTTCTGCTTCCCGGCTAAAGCGGCGCAATTAAAATCGCAGTTTTATAGACGATTGCGGCGTAAACAAAAGGCAGAGGAACAGCAAATTACAACAATAGCCTTTGCCTCAGAGTCCATTGTCGATGTAATATTGATTAATTACAATGTGGAGAGCGTTGGCTTGCCAGGCAGACAGACACCTTTGGCGATCGTCCGCAACCATCAAGGCTTCCATTAACAACAAAGGACGGTACCATATGTGTACGCGGTGGTCCTTGCCTCAAACTTCACGACTTCAAGAACGAGATCGTGCCCCTGTGCTTTTAGGAATGTAAAAATTGCGAGCGAAACATCTGCGAGCGTGTCCTAGTTTAACAGCTGAATATCATCTTCCTCGGGTAACGAGATTTCGGATTTTTATATTCGTTTCGGAGCAGATGTAAAAGTCATGTTGAGAGAGAGAGAGAGAGAGAGAAGGAAATATCGATAATGATAGTGGGGATTATATGCCCCACAAGCGTGCTGTTGTTAAGACTACACGGTCTTAAATCCCCTTTAAAAGGATAATAGAAAAGTTATCGGCGACGTTACAATAGCGGAGGGTGTCTATAATTAATAGCCTTCTCGACCATTGACATTTCAACCTATTTTATCGATATTGAATATGGGTAGGAGGGGGAAGGATGAAGTTGTTGCATTTATTGATATTGCACGCTTGATTTTAGTTCTACTATCCTTTTTAAGGCGCCTACTTTTTATTAAATATAGAAAAAAATGAATGACTTTTTAATCTTCATCAATTGAAAAAACAAAATTGATTTACTTTTTTAATCAAATAGTTAGATGAAGATTGAGCCAATTGTTAATGCACATTTTTAAGAAGTAAATGGTTTGTGAGCAAAAGCTACTACAAATAACCTTTAGAATCAGAAGGAGGAAAGTTCTTCCTACCACTTCCTTTCTGACCCTGAAGGATAATTAATTAAGTTTGACTTACCGCATGAATTACAGGGACTCGAAGTCAATTAATTTATTGTAACTTAGTCCACCCTTGCGAAGCGCGCTCTAAGGGGATTTTGTCACCTTTTAAAAGCTGTTACGAGCACTCCGGACTTTCAGGGGCATAATGAATATCCTTTCAAAGCGATCGTCCTTCAACCCTGCAATCGATTTATAAACTGTCAGCGGAAAATCTGTTTTTAATAAATGGTTGCGAATATAAATTTTAATATTAAAAAAAAAAAGTATTTTCTTAATATCTAAAAAAAAAGTATCGCAGACTTCTTATATTGCAAGTTAGAAAGTCAGTGCTGGAAGATCTTTGCTCGTGCAAATAGCAAACCACATGAGAAAGATACGAAGAATGATAAGAGGGGGTGGTTAGAGAATAGGCGGGAATAAAAGAAACCCAGCAAGAGTAATGCCTGGGGAAGCAGTTAAATTCGTTGCATGTGTGCCCTCAAGAGATTTCTACTCACCCCTACACCCTTTGTTTCTGCGTTAGGTAAGCTTTTGTTTCGGTTATACGACCGAGGATACCGCAGGCCCAGTCCAATAAAACGAAAAACAGATCCCCTTTACAATGCCGTACATTTGCATAATTTCGCGTAATCTCCGCCATTTTCGCTCTTCGCGAAGCTCTTCGTCCTTTTACTACGAAGGAGTGAGGTAAATTAATTTACGAGCACAGTCACTTGTCTCGGGCACGTATTCAAATCCATGGGTTTTCGCGCCAATTACCGTTACCTTTTTATTATATTATATATACACTCTTCGTATTGTATATACTATATATACACTTTCTCCATATATGTCATGACATGTACATATCACGCAGTGTTAAACATTCAAGATCAAATATTTAACGTATGTGCACGCATGGCAGCAAACATTTTGAAATTACATATCGTATCGTATATCGTATACATTGATACTCGATTGATACTCGAATTGGAGCATTAACCACGGAAACGCCATTCCTTCATACGAACACCATTGTTATTGACAGCAAAGGAGCACAGAGATCCGGATAAGTTTCGCGACTTGGCAAGACAACGAGCAATAACGGCGAACGGAACTCGCAGGCGAGATGAATTCGAATGATTAAGAACGATTGGATTGTAGGTGCTCGCTTCAATTATGAGCAGGACACGCTATTCCCTCGTTATACCACACTACTCTCTACCTACAACAACCGAAGACGTCGGGTACACCGGCGTGGATGCAGAGGCGCGAACTTTTAATACGTGTGAACGCTCCTTTATTAGTAGCGTGACCAATGAGCGCTGACGCTATTAATCAAATGTCTAACATCGGTCTCTCTGTGTGCTGTACACACACCCTACCGAATAATACGCGAACCGTTCTTCTTCCAATTATCGAACAGCGCAACCTCGTGGATTTAGAATCTACTATCAATGGACCAACCAAATTCCTTGATTGCATAGATGACGTTCTAACGTTTATCCCGTCGCTTCTTTGGAGGGTCTTCCAGAAACTAACGGTGAAATGATGCGAACGTTGAAATCGAGAAAGAATCTCCTCTCTGGTTTACCGCTCGTTTAATCCAGATACGAATCTTTCCTACGAATTAATTATGGAAACACTTCCGGCGTAGTGAAAGCGGAAGTGGCGTGTAAAAGAAAGTCTAATCAGTGTAATACATGTACGAGTTCCACGATGTGATATTTTTTTTTCAACGAATATCTATATCGAGCTGCTCTTTCTTTCTTTTTAATTAAAATGATTTACGATATCCAATTATGATAAATATCAACGCCCCGTAATTAGTAACAATCGTTTTGACTAGCGAGGTAAGTATGGTTGCTTTTTTTTTTCGTCAACATTCAATTCGCCGCGCAATGCTCGCGTTGCAACCCGATTAATTAATCAAGTGTTTTCGCGGCGTGACACGTTTCTACCTGAGATTCTCGTATATCTCGTTTGTGCCTCCGTAATTAACGCGTTGAATTGTTCCGTATGATGCGATGCGGAAACGGGAATGCGTGTTAGTGCGATTGTAACGCGGCAGTCTCATGACTCGTGTCGATCGTATGCAAATCCAAATGCAATCTGGCAGAGCCGGTGACAACGAGTAACGGTCGAGAAACCTTAGGTGATCCGAGGCGATCGAATTTCGAAATCGACACGACAACATCGCATAATGGCCATCCAGTTACAGGTGTGTCCGATCGTGATCGTTTCACTTTTTATTGCTCGTGTGTCTCGAAGGTACAACGAACCGTGCACCGTTTCTCGAATTAACTTCGTGGCGACCGGAAGTTATATCGATGAGATATCATTCCCGCTTGCCCGGGCAATTATATTTAAAACTGGATTAAATAACCTATGCATATCCTTCTTATCGATTTCAGATATTATTCATCGGAATTATGGCAATCGATTAAAAAGAAGATAAGTTAAAACAATGAGAAAGGAAATCTCGAAGGGTTTTATCATCCTGTCGTAAGTTATAAAGAGCATTTGATAGAATAGCGAACGATGCTACAGAACGTTTCAATTGACCATCTGTCGACATGTGTGTGTTTGCGTGTCTCGTTTGAAAAAGAGCAGAGAGAAGTCACGTAAGGACTGCGAAAGAATAAAAATACCTTATAACGACAAATATAGGAAGCGGAAAATTCAACGCCATTTTACGCACGCTGAGATCCGCAACCGAGATTACACGGCAAGTAATAACGATCTTATTTTTTTATAACGATGTTTTGTAATGCTTCTACAATCGTTTTTAATGCCAGTATAATTTCAGTTAATAGATATGGAAGTAACAATATGCATTTAATTGAACAAAAGCATACAAATGTCCGAACAAACTTGAGATACAGATAGGTTATCTCTTTGTTTCAATAATTTTCATCCAAAGGAGATCTTCGAATCTGCATGCATTTGAGTGCATTACAAATACGAAAAACTTGTCCCAAAGACACTGGTCGACGCGTGTCTTGTAATCTGTTCAGTGTATTCGTTCAAATTATATTTTCATGGTATCAAGTGTTCGAATTAACATTTTATCACGGTAGAAAGAGATATTCGTTACCCAGGGAGAACTTGCGTGTCGTTAATATCAAGATTCAAGATATAGGCATAAAAGTAGAGCAATTAAGGATACAAGACAATAATCCCTGGCTGTAATTTTCTTGAAATCCACGTTATTCTTTGTAATTGCTGAAGAAGTGGATATGCTCACCATTCACAGGTATTATTGAAATGTTTAATGCATTTAAAATTTGCAGAAAAGCGGCGTATTACGAGAGAGAGAGAGAGAGAGAGAGGGAGAGGGAGAGGGAGAGGGAATGGAATAAATTCATTAGACTTATCGATAATTGCGAAATACTTTCCGAAACTTCTCACGATGGAATCTTTAATGCCATCCTGAGCAGGTACTTTCTTACCGAATAATTTAACAAGCCGAAGCACCTTTAATCACGAAGTTTTTCCCCCATCGTTTCGATGCTCCTTTCTCCATCTTTCTTTCTTCGTTCGTTCGCCGAGTCTGCAATAATTTTCTCTCCCAAACAAGCGACGTGAAGGGTAGGGGAAGATAGCGAAAAAACGTAGAAGAGAACACAGTAGTTGTTTAAAAGAGGTTCAAAGCGACTGACGAACAAATTACCGGGAAGTTTACCAATCCCGCACGCTTCTG